CCCATCGTGTATTTCTTCTCATCCATAGCACTTGTAATGTCCTCCATCAGGTCAGTAATGTCCAAAGATGTCGATCGGTTCGACCTGAGCTAATCTGAAGGCCACATGAAGTTTGGAGGTCTATAGCTATTGACTCTGCAGAAAGTTGGTGACCTCTGTGCACTATGCGTCTCAGCATCCGCTGACCCCGCTCTGTGATTTTACGTGGTCTACCACTTCATGGCTGAGTTGCTGTTGTTCCCAATCACTTCCACTTTGTTATAATACCACTAACATTTGACTGTGGAATATTTAGTAACGAGGAAATTTCACAACTGGACTTATTGCACAGGTGGCATCCTATCACGGTACCATGCTGGAGTTCACTGAGCTCCTGAGAGCGACCCATTCTTTCACAAATGTTTGTAGAAATGGTTTGCATGCCTAGGTGCTTGATTATATACACTTGTAACCATGGAAGTGGTTGGAACACCTGAATTCAATGATTTGGATGCGTGAGTGAATGCTTTTGGCAATATAGTGTACCTGCAAGCGATGCTCCAGCCTCATCCAACAGTTTCTTTTTTTTCTTACTGAACTCTCATTGTCTTTTCAGGGCCATTTCTTTTCTAAATACTATAGCTGAACTGATGACTGATCTGCTGGCATCGTACGTGTTAGGTTCTGTCAAAACAAACCACACATGGAGACGGAAAATGGATAAATCCCCCCCCACCCCCCCCCACCCACCTACAGTAACCATGCTCAATCTTTGCGTCTAAGTGAAAACAGCTGCCACTCCCCAATTGTCATTAATGGTTTTTGTCCACCAGGGATCACTGCTGGGCTTTCCAATACTAAGCGTCCCACCTCGAACATGTCTCAGCAATGTTTCACAGTTTCCAGTGTCATTTATCCAGTAAGAGAAGATGCTGTTAAGCCAGTAACACTCCGTGGCTACATGCATCAATACAGCTGTTGCATATTATCACACGTATGGGTTGTGAAATCACAAACTATACAAACTGTTAAACAAGTGAGTGTGTGCCAAGTGAGTCCACAATAATAGCGCTGATTCTGTGTGAAATATATTCCCAACTTCAGGTGGCATTAGTATGAGCTTTCAGCAATCCAAGTTTAACAAATGAAGTGGGTATCTTTCTGAGTCTTTGTGTTACTCTGCTGGCTAGTACAGAAAAACCAGTTTCAGTGTTCATATAGCCAAACTAACTATTTTAAGATAGCCTTGAAAATGTGTGAACCTGTCCTTTAAACCTAGTGTCACAGGACCGCAAGGGTTTTTACCAAACCAGCTCGTAAAGAAAATCAATGGCATTCACAGAATAACTCCACTTGACTTTTCAAATCCAAATCTTCCATCATTTGACTGCAACTCATTTCTCCAGCTGCTCACCAACTACAGACAGGGGACACACCAAAGGAAAAACTATGATAAAGTGATAGAATCAATGCCAAGGCACACTAAAGCTGTTCTGGTGGCCACTGGCAGCCCAACTACTGGAGGGATGAGCCCATTCTTCCAAAACACTCATTTGGTGTTTGGATGATGGTGGTGGAGACGCTGTCTGATGTGTCAGTCTGAAATTTTCCATAGGTGTTCAACTTGGTTGAGATCTGGTGACTGTGAAGGTCACAGCATACAATTTGCATCATCTTCACCCTCATCCAACCATTCAGTGAGCCCTTTTATTATGTGGATGGGGGCACTGTTGTCCTGGAAGAGGCTACTCCCATAAGGTTTTTCTTTTAAATTGCCACCCGGTTGGTTTGTTATTGCTTTACATCTGTGCCTAGCCTCCTAGACAGAAACAGGATGCTGTATTTGTGTGATAGTAAAATGTGGAAACTTCAAACCTGTCATTAACATTTTGAGTCAACAAAATGAAAAAAAAACTGGACAGGTACAATGCCATTTCTTTTTCTTTGGCTTCTTATCAAGCAGCAGACACTTTAGCAGAGGCAATGTTTCACATATATGGATGCTAATTTACAGAAAGCGCATGCCCTGCTCAAAATCTGTCCCAGGGCTGTTGACTTGGAGTATGACCATAGCCACATTTGATGACAGCTCACTGAGTTTGAGAAAACCTCTGATTTAGGGATTTAATAGGCTGTTTTTCATTTTACCTAGAAAAAAATTAAAAGGTCTGTTCATATAAAAAAAGATAGAACTCACATACTAACATTGATGTGGAGCTGGAGGACAGTAGCATTTATGTGGAGCTGTGTTTGTGGCCACCTGATCTATCACTTTTAGCTCTGGTCTAAACTCCTGAGGAAACTAACACTCAAACATGGTCAATAGCAAGTCTCTTTGTTTGTCTACGGTTTGCTGCTGAGCACAGGGGGTTTTCTTGAGCTTTTTCACTGTAAACTGCTGCCCGCTGACACAGTACAGCTAAACAATAGACAGGAAGTCTCAATAAAGCTCAGTGGAGCTGAGACAAGCTGCAGATTCAGGTGATAATTCTCTGTAGGTCATTACAAGCAACCTATTTCCCATTGAGTGTTTTTGCACTGACATTTGATACATTTCTATTATCAAATCTCTGCCTCTAAGTTTGTTTCTTCTACCCTAACACAACAAAGGTGAATGTCATTTCATTGTAAAGCAATGAAAAACACCAATCATCAAATTCAATTGTAATTTGTCTTTTTCATACACAAGTACTTACTCTGAACAGATCGTGGAAACTTATTTCTTAAATGTCACTTGAATGTCCATGTTTTTATAAATTAATACATTGAAATTTGAACTTTTTATCTTGAACCTCTACCAAAGAAAAAGTGTCTATAAAACTAATGCTGTTATGTTGGTGGATGAAAGTAACAGGGACACTGTTTCTGCTGTTGAAATTTGAAATGTAATGTTTCAGTCATGTAAGCATTACAAGCAGAATTCCATTCGCCTCTATTGTACTGTGGCAGAGACAGACAGTTTAGAGACTGATATTTTAAAATATGGAAAAATAAAACCAAAGATATTGGCATATTACCACTATGAGGAAGCAGAAAAGTGCTCACAATTTGACTTAACTTAGCAATTAAAATCCAAACTTGAGAAATGTAATTAAAGTCAACATGAATGCTCTTTGCTGATTTTTTCTAGACATTCTGGGAAATATAGTCAATTAGAGAATGGTTTAAATGAGCTGAAGTCAAATATTCATTCACATCATTACAAAGAACTCCTGCCATGTGATGAACTTGATTTTGATAGTGGATGTTCAGGAAATATATGATTGATGCATCCTTTCCTCTCTTGTCTTCCTGCTTCAGAGAGACGCATGGGAGCAGTCAGTACCAGAGCCAGTATCCCAGGTGGAGGCTCTCTGTCCGGACAGCCTGGCCCCCATCAGTGTTCCACCTTCCATGCCCAGCCCTGAACCCCCTGGTAGCCCTTCCCAGTACCGTGCCTCTAGCCGAGGTTCCTCCAGCAGCCAGCCCTACACCCTGCAGTCTCTGGAGGATGCCCACTACCATGCTCTAACCACCACTAGCTCCTATCCTCCTCCTATCCCCTCCTCCTCCTTCACCTGCCCTCCCTACATGAGCAGCAGCATCAGTGACCCAGTGTCCAAGATGGTGACAGAGGAGGCCGAGAGCCATGCCGGCCTCCCACTGAGTGGTGAGGCTCACGCCTCCTGGGCTAAAGAGGATGGAGTAAGCTCCTGGTTGCCCTATGAGAGTAGGAGGCCCTACTGACTGGATGACAGGCCCGAGCTTCAGAATTTAAAGGAAGATAGAAGTTTAAACAATAACCTCAATAAGCACTTGGAAGAAAATTCACTGAGATGTAGTGTTGATAGGACAATTTCAGTGCATTTTAAAAGCACTAAGGTGCCCATATTACAGCCTAATCTGATCAGAAGTTCCTACTTAATTGTGTAAAAATGTATCATTTTTGTTTGATTTTTATAAAAACAAGTGGAAAGTATGGACTTGATCAGTAAAGCATAACTCAAGATAAGCCTTAAAACTGAAAAATGAAAGTGATGTAGTGATGTAATAGAGTTAATAGAATATAACTGCCATTGTCACGATGAAATGAGGCTTTGCAGTGGCTATGTTAGATTTAAGACCCAGCAGGGCTCTTGCACCACACGACATGCTTCTTCAGTTACCTGTAGCTATGGAGTAAGGTTGTGGAGCAGCTCAACTAAACTGAACATATGGAGATTATGATTCTGTAAAATGTACAGTAAACAAATAAACAATCAAGTCTATATCAAACAGGACACCACCTGGAGTCACATTTTGACTGGTTACCACATGAGGACAGAAGCCAAGATACTTCGCTAAAAGCAACTAATGAATGGTTCAAATGTCCAGCATCAAAGAAAAGGCTAGTTGCTTTGGCACATGGCTCCTATTCAAGGTCCTAGACAGCACTTAGTCTAGAACTACAGATGTGTGAAAAAGGAAAGAAAAACCCTGAAGAAATGAATGGTCTCATCCAGGATGACGGTGCCTCCATCCGCTGGACACGAAGGGTCACCAGACGGTCTGATGTGTATGAAAATGATGTGAATCATATGCGATGACCTTCACAGTCACCAGCTCCCAACCCAGTCTAACACCTGTGGGTCCTTGCTGGGTCCACAGCTGGAAACATTTCACCTTAACCCCCTCTATTTATCATTCAGAATACACTATATAAATACTTAATCAATGATTTACACAATCAGAAACACACTATCCGAGACCTTATAGCTTGGAGCAAACAAATCTTCAGCTTCGGTTTTTTAGTCATAAAAACATTTGAGTCATCACTGTTCCATCACTAAAATGAGCTGCTTTGTTTTATTTCAAACATCTGTGAATCACTCATGCTTTATTATGGACATGACTATCCAAATAAAATATGTCTAGTCTGCTGACCAAAATTTTATTGTTTCCAAAAGCATTAATTGAAATGTGAAATTTAATTGTAATAACCTAATATGGATTTAGAGTTTTTAAAAGACCAATTACTTTTACATTGCGTTACAATTAGTTTATTATTAACTGTGTATATACACATTCAAATCATTCACAGGCAAATTAAAAATTTTAAATTATAAATTTATTTGAAGTCATATGGCTAGATTTGATTAAAACTATACACTGCATATTTAAGCATTAATTAATTGCTTATAGTCATTAACAAAGCCAATATTAAATGCATATACTGTATGTCCTTGTATGTATTTACAGCTACTCTGTAAGATGCTGTACCAAATGCAAATAATGGGGGGTTAAAATGAAGTATTACACAAAAGGTATTTAGATATAGCCCTTCATCAGCATGTGTGGAATTGTAACTGTGAGCTGTCAAGAATAAAAGTTGCTATAAACATGACAGAAGACTGTAATATTGGCCAGTTCATCCTGTCCAACAGTTGGGGGTGCAGGTCAGTGGGGCTGGAGAGGTTCCCAGTTGTGACCACTAGGTGAAGCCCCTGCACCGCTGCTGCAGCAGAAAGGGCAGAGCCTCTGAGCTGCTAGAAGAGGAAAAACAGCATGGATGTGATGGAGACCACAGAACAGGGATGAAGAAGTCTTGTGGGTGTAATGTGGTGAAGAGGGAACGTGATAAAAAGTGCTTGAGATGACTAAATAAGGCTTTTAAAGGGGTGAATATGATACATAAACTTATAGTATGGGCCATGATGGTACATTTTCTTTAAAGAGTGGGTGTACTGCCTCTGCTACAACAGTTACTGCAACTAACGATGATGATGATAGGCTAGTTGTAAATAAAATAGTTGTGATGGGCCTAATTATGTTCATAATGATAATACTGTGATTTATTGAAAAAGCTTTGACCAGTTTGAGAGCCCAAACTGCTCCAGACATTTACAGCTGGCTGAATGGGGCACATTTAAAATATATACAATGTTTGTATATCTTGTAATTACTAATAATTTAATCACTTATCATATGAGCTAAACGTTTATTGCAGTGTTTTACATAGGCTGATGTGAATATGTTACTGGCTGTGGATTTTCACTGGAAATATCTTCATTATATTGGAATATTTTTTAAGGATTCAAAGTGTCTATAAGTTAATGTCGTAAACACTAAGAGATGTAGTCTTCTCGCAGCAGTCTTCAGCAGGTGTGAGCTCGCAGAACACTTGTTAGAGAGGTTCAAGGCCTGCGACGCCAAAGATGGCTACTGCCTTTTGCCACGCCCACTTATTCCCACTATTATGTGTTTTTTTTTTCTTTGAATAAAAGTTTTAAAATGTTTTAATGCATTGTTGATATGCAGTGACCTAAGTAAACGTGTGATCGCAGATATAAGGTAAATTGCGGTGCTGAAGTTGCGCAAAAAGACGCACCCATTGCTGCAGTGCTTAATGAAGGGCTGTGATGCTCTAATATTGCAAAAGGAGGATAAAATTACTAAAAGTATGGTTTCTTTTGGCCAAAGTGTAAAATGTTAATATATTACATTACAGTGGACCTTATACAATGTCTATGCGTAGTCATTTTTATTGAAAAATCGATATTTGTCAGTTGCCTCTGAATATTCAAATTGAAAGTAACGCGCAATCAAATCATTGTCAAATCATTGAGTTCTAGGGGTTTTAAATAGTAGGCATGGAGGGAGAAAATCTCAAACTAATATGTTCCCAGGTATATTACAATATTGTTGTATGCCCTGACTCTACTGTAAGACATTTGTGTTGAGATTTTTGAAGATTTTTGCACAAATTTCGTTCTTGGCCATTTTGCTGAGGCAGCAAAGGACGTTGTGGAGTCCCACAGGTCTTCTCCAGAGAGCTTCTCTTCATCTCCCCCATCATGTCTGGTGAGTTTCACATCGGATTTCCTTCTGGAAATCATTTTGTAGTATATTCACCTGTTAGAAAAGAGAAAAATGGGATGTTTATTGGCACATTTAAAAGCACACCTGCATAACATGTAAATGTTTAGGTTGTTCCTGTAGATGTTCATTTCATCACATATTCAAACCATTTATATAATAACCAGCAGTAAAATTAAGCTTATACTGATTAAAGTTTCCTAGTTGATAGGTGGATCAGGACAGTCCAATTTTCCATTCAAACACTCATATACAGCTTTACCGACTTTGGGTTATTATTTATTTATATTATTTTATATTTACGCCGACTTATCCTTACTGACACCCGCGAGAACGTGTATATTGACCTTTCCAACGACATTTTATTAATTAAGATTAATAACTGGAGATAGCATTTCAGCCTTTTTCTTCCCGGGCTGCTTGTGCGGAACAGGACGTTATGAGTAACCGTGTTAGAGTGGGATGTGTCTGTTGTGTGATTTTGGACCACTATTTGCTGCATTTAAGACAAATCATGAAGTAGCATTTAGCTGTATGAATATTTATCAGATGAGGTTTCGCAGCCGAGGCTTCATCTCTTATCAAATCACCTTTTTCCAACCAGCTCGCCACTCCTGAGTGCTTTAAGTTATGCCTTTAGGCCTAACTTACGTGAACCTATACGAGGCGTTCTCTCTGGGTACTTTAATCAAGTTTCACCTATAGAAAAAATATGGCCAAAATACGGCCACAGCATTTTCATTGTCCTATATCCAGGATAAGGACTGGGTGATTTGAATACATTAACAGAGATTGGAGCAGATTTGGGATCTGAATTAGATCTTGGGTCTGAATTATACACCACACGGTTGAAATTACTATCGACATTTTTAACAAGACAACCGCGATCTCACCAAACAGAAGCCCAGACCGACCTTTTACTAAATGGCCGGACACCGGTAGCGTGGGGCTAAAAAGCATAAAGAGTGGACGGTTTTTATGAGTAGTTAGGAGGCTGATTTACTTTGTAATCAACTCCTATAAACAGTTAGTTCAAATCATCAACTTCACAGCGCGTTTACTAAGAGAGGTTTTATATTGTAGTCACCGATCGCTTTGCAGACTCTTGTCACCTCATTGTGCTCTTTACGCGGTCGTTCCGAGCGCCTTCATCCAACGTTATCAAATGATGCTACAAGCATTTCGAACTTTAGATCGACCTGAGTTTGCATCCCACTATTATGTCTATTATACGTACGCTTATGATCAGAAATACATACTTACGGTAGCGCATTTGTGGCATTTTCCTTTGTTCCTGTCTGGGCGGGGAGGCTCGGGAGCGCTAAACACACGCTGTAGGTAAAGGTGTTCACTTCAGACGTAATAGGAAACGCCGGGCGGTGCAGTGCAGTAACGAGGGAGTCCTGACCGTGAGCAGTGGGGGGCTCTGGGGTCGAGACAAGCGGAACAACGCGCACTGAGCGCTTATCATGCGCCTTTACGCGCCAAATGTCCGGTCAAAACTTTGCGCACTGAAACGCTACACATAGGAAACTGTATTCCAAACAATTTGTTTATTATTATAATAATGTTACCACAGTTTTCCAGCCTAAACATTTTAAATTCAACAGTTTATTGGGACTTAGGACAATGTAGCGACATATCGCTAAATGGAGAGACTGCAACTTATTGAGGAAAAAATGCGAAGTGTTGTATTTTTATTTCTTGAATCTGAGGAAGAAACACTGTGGGCTTCAAGTGAAGGAGGAGGGAAGAGGAGGGGTGCAGAGCCGTGCTGGGTGGAGAGGAGAGGATTCATTGTTTGCTGTTGTCCAGTGTAGAGTGTTTCATAAACATGAGTGACATGCTGTTTTCATGCAGATAAGAAAGTGTACCAGGGCGTCCGAGTGAAGATCACTGTCAAAGAACTGCTGCAGAGGCGCAGAGCCCGAGAGGCCAACAGCAAAAAAGTTAAAACGGTAAATCTTTATTCCGCCGAACCCCATTGCATCCTTATTATCACTCAACCGTTTCAGACAGACAAGGAAGGAGAAAAAGCAATGAAAGGCAATAAAGTGCCTCTGTGAATGATTGACTGCCGTTCAGCAGAAAACATTCTAATAAAGTCATAAGCACACTCATTCCAATAGACACAGACTGAAAGACAATAAAATTTTAAATATTGCAACAAGAAGTCCAAATATTCAGATGAAATAATAATCCTGTCTTGCCATTTCTCCTCCTATCTTTTCTTTTCTTCCTGGTGGACGGATATCCCAGGCTTGTGTGCATATTCAGGATATTTGCGGATCCACATTCCCAAGTAAGTTTACCCAGCTGTAAAAGCCAAGTCACAAGTTAAACAAATCCATTAAAGCTTTACAGATTACACCCTGGCTTATAACAATCGCAGACAACATATTTGCAATGCCTACAATTTGGAAGTTTAAGTCAAAATTTTCATGGACCTTGTAATGATCCAAATTAAAATTCCAGCCATATGGCTAAACACCATCCCCATGTTTAAAAAGATGCTGAAAAAAATCACCACTGGTTGCAGCGAGACAACTAAAGCATGTACTGAAGTTGGACTAATCTGACAGAAGCACAGTAAAAACATATGCAACCAGTACCCTGAGGCCCCAGAGCCAGGAACACGATGACCACCAATTCAGAAAAAATCTGCTTGGAACGCAACTCCAAACAATTTGCAACTTCATTCTAAACGTGCAGGGTCCTTTCAAGGCTACATTCAAATGTGTTGGCTGATGGTGTCATGACATCACTCTCTGAACTTACAGTCCTATTTAAAGGTCTTCCTGTGCTCTGCTATCATGCAGAAACTACCCTGAACAATTTTTGAAAACGCTCTTGAGGATATAAATATCTTCTTCTTTACAAACCTACTCTGTATTTCGGTAGGTTGGGATTACAGGAATATTAACAACTTTTCATTTGAAATGCAACAAAGATAAGAGCGGTCTCTTTTTCTAACTTTGGTGTGGAGCCTACAGGCAATTTAACCTGTAGCCTATGCTACGATTTTGTCTCTAAGATTTCTTTTGGATATTTTAATCACTTTCTTCATATTGCATTTTGTCAGGTCGCTATGTGGACCCTCCTCTCCCCATTCCCGAAGAGGGCGCGAGCACCTGTGACGCGCGAGCCCTCCAGCTGCGCACCGCCGCGTTCCCGGTCCCAAACAGCTCGTGCTCCATTCAAATGCAGGGGGGGACATTAAACCAGATCCAGCAGCAAACTGGGGACATGATGTTGCCGAGCAACGGCTACAGTGTCAATAACAACAACAGCATCGGCGGCGGCAGCTACACCGCATCCCTTCCTCCTCCGCCCACCTTCCCGCTGCCCTGGTGCCATGGACTCTCCTCAGATGCGGACTATTACGGCCATGAGATGGTAGGCTTCTCCCACTGTCACGGACCAAACTTTGTTTACAGTGGGGGGTTTTCGGCAGATATGCAGTATAAATTATTATTCAATGATTATGATAATTATAATTTCAGTTTCTAAGAAACAATTAAGGGCAAGACTGTACCTAAAACGGAACTATTACTACTGTGCTGAAAAGTGGTTTAAGAGACTGGTAAAAGCATTAAATTACAGTGTTATTAAAATAAGGAACTTTGTCTAACACCCCAGGCAACATCAAATTATATGGTTTTGGGATAGAGTGCTGGCTGTTTGCCCTTAGCAGAGACTTGTGTCACGGGCTGAATCCAGAATGTAGTAATTACTGTGTAATTGTGAGGCCTGTGGAGCAGCTACTTTTGTTTTGCTTGTAATCAGAACTGTTTTGCTTGACAAAATAATCCAGTGTAAGTACATAATGGCAAGTAAAGAAAACTTACATAAGCCAAACTAGTCAGTTTAGACCTAAAGACATGATTAGTGGAGCAAAATGATTCCATTAGCTTTAATAATGAAAGCAGTAATTAGCCCAATTCACACTGAGCACTGAAACAACAGCACCACTCACAGAAGTCCCTGGTGAGCCTGTGGTCTAGTGTCACTTTGATGTCCCATGACACATTTGCAAACTCATGTTAAATTTAATTCTCACCATCCTCCCTGTCTTCTTTTCTGTCAGGCTCCCTGTTCCTCATCAGAGTCACTGAAACTCCTCAGCACCATGGATCAGAGCAGCTACTCGCCACAGGACTCTTTCTCCTCCTCCTCTTCCTCCTGCTATGACTCGCCCACCAGGATGGAGTCCAGCTTCCATGGCTTCACCTCAGAGGACTTCCACTACCAGCACTTCAACCTCCAGGACTGTTTCTCCCTGCCCTACTGCTGGTCAGGCCAGCAGGAGAGCTTCTCTGCTCCTGAATACACACCTTACTACAACCCCACAGACTATTCATATGCATGTCCTGTGGAAGACAACTATTTCAAGAGGGATTTGCATATGAGCTCTGAAATGTGCTATAATGTACTATGATGAGACCTTCAACAGTATTGTTTAGTCTTCTGACTGTAAATATGATTCAAATGGAATACTTAGTAGGGCTGTTTCCTTGAAGTTGCCATTTGCATTTCAGTGTGGTCTGACTGGCCTCTGCTTTGTTGGAGTGAATATGAATGCTGAATGGATGAAAAGGCATATATTTTTACATCTGTGGGTTTTTTTTACTAATTAAATGTATTTTCATACACATCACTTGTTATACTAATAAAAATGTGTTAAACTCACCACCATGTTTTTGTTCTTGTGCTAAACATCCATACACAGAAAGCAGAATGAGGTGTAGAGACAACTGGACTCACAGCTTGTAGCTTTCTGCTAAGTCATGGTCAAGTTAATCAGTAAATGCTCCAGGTTCATAGTTTACTGTCACAGTATAAGGTGCACTGAAGCTGTTCTGGCACCACGTGGTGGCCCAACCCCTTATTAATACACTTGATGCTGGATTTTCCTTTATTTTGTCACCTGTCTGTATTTGTCATTGAATTGCTTGAAGTAGAAAGTACTCAACTTGCTCTTTCAATTCAACCTTTTGGAGGCAGTTCTCAAATGGTTTCCATTGCTGAATTATAAAATATATATAATGTACATAGAAGGCAGCTATGCTACCAGCGAGGACAATGAGATCATGAGGTAATAATGAGGTAATACTGCTGAAAAATCTAAGGTGTCAATGACATGGAAAACAAACAGTGGAGCAAAGGCACAAGGTCTGGGCCACAGTGCAGCGGAGAAGCATGTACTAGGTATAAGCAAATTGAAAATATATTTGTGGATATGTGTGGAATTATGTGTGTTGACATATTGACTGTTGTTACATGTTTGAAAGAATAAATCAAATCAAATCAAATCAAATCAAAAGAAAAGAAAAAAGGCTTGGAGCAGTAGCTGCTCTGGGTGCAGTGCATTTCATTTAAGTCTAGCATTCTTCACAGAATTATGTACCTGTACAAATGTAAACTATTTTTGAAATCTTTGAAGAGAGAACAAATTTACAAAAAAATAACAAGGTTTAGTTGGTGTTTTGTTAAAATTCTCAAAATAGGATGGGATTCTACCAGGGAGTTTTGGACTGATTAATGTTTTCATATTATATTTATTTATCAGAGACCATGTACAAAAACATTAGTCTCAAACATTGCTGATGAACATGGCCTCAGTAGTTTTAAATCCTGATCCTGGTGCTGCAGCACCACTTACATGCCGTGCAAATGAGAATTATCTTCAAATGCCCCTGAGAATTAAGTCTAAGCCAATGTAAACTGACACCAAGCTCATCTTCAAGCCATAAACTTGACATTTTGGCTTTAACAGGCTTGCACACTGTTTTGTTAACTACTGCAATTAACTGTTGTTGATGGAATTATTAGTATCTATAAAGTATGAATAGACTTCACATTAAAATGTTTGAATTATTGTTAACATAGTAATGCAGTGGAAACCATGTATGTTCAAAACAAGAGCTTTTCACAAAGCCTATTTTCAGGACAAATTTCTCCACATATAGTATAAAGGATGATGATGATGATGATGATGATGATGATGATTAATCATTCCAAAATAACCAAATAATACCATTAGTGGATGGTGTTGTCAGGTTCCACATTTAAATGCTCATGTTTCACTGAACTTATTTTCAATTTAATTAAATTCCATTTTATTTGTATAGCACTAAATCAAAATAAAAGTCATTGTAGGACACTTTACAAAAATGTAGAAATGTAGCTCTAGGGCTACCTGCAGAAAGGTACAGGGAGAGAGAGAGACACTACGAGGGAGAGGAGACACACAGTTAGTGACATACAATGAACAAAATTATAAATGCAACACTTTTGTGTTTGCCCCCATTTTTCATGAGCTGAACTCAAAGATCTATGATTTGTTCTATGTACACAAAAGGCCTATTTGTCTCAAATATTGTTGACAAATCCGTCTAAATCTGTGTTAGTGAGCACTTCTCCTTTTCTGAGATAATCCATCCATCTCACAGGTGTGGCATATCCAGATGCTGATTAGACAGCATGATTATTGTACAGCTGTGCCTTAGGCTGGCCTCAATAAAAGGCCACTCTGAAATGCGCAGTTTTAGTGTATTGGGGGGGGTCTGGAAACCAGTCAGTATCTGGTGTGACCATCATTTGCCTCACGCAGTGCAGCACATCTCCTTCGCATAGAGTTGATCAGGTTGTTGATTGTGGCCTGTGTAATGTTGGTCCACTCCTCTTCAATGGCTGTGTGAAGTTGTTGGATATTGATCCAGAGCATCCCAAACATGCTCAGTGGGTGACCTGTCTGGTGAGTATGCAAGAACTAGGATGTTTTCAGCTTCCAGGAATTGTGTACCGATCCTTGCAACATGGGGCCGTGCATTATCATGCTGCAACATGAGGTGATGGTCGTGGATGAATGGCACAACAATAGGCCTCAGGATCTTGTCACGGTATCCCTGTGCATTCAAAATGCCATCAATAAAATGCACCTGTGTTCATTTTTCATACCATAACCCCACCGCCACCATGGGCCACTCGATCCACAACATTGACATCAGCAAACCGCTCACCCACATGACGCCCTACACGCTGTCTGCTATCTGCCCTGTACAGTGAAAACCAGGATTCACCCGTGAAGAGAACACCTCTGGTGGTATATAGATGGTGGCATATAGATGCACAGAGAGAGAAGAGAAGAGAGGAGAGGAGAGGAGAGGAGAGGAGAGGAGAGGAGAGGAGAGGAGAGAAACTCAGAGCATCATGGGGCCCCCCAGAAGCCTAGACCTATAGCAGCATAACTAAGGGAAGGCTCAGGGTCACCTGATCCAGCCCCAACTATAAGCTTTATCAAAAAGGAACGTCTTAAGTCTAATCTTAAAGGTAGAGAGGGTGTCCGCCTCCTGAACTGAGACTGGGAGTTGGTTCCATAGGAGAGGAGCTTGATAGCTAAAGGCTCTGCCTCCCATTCTACTTCTGTGGACTCTAGGAACCACAAGTAAACCTGCACTCTGAGAGCAAAGTGCTCTGTTAGGATGATAAGGCTCTACGAGGTTGTTAAGATACGATGGAGCCTTGTCATTAACGGCTTTGTATGTTAGGAGAAGGATTTTAAATTCTATTCTGAATTTTACAGGGAGCCAGTGGAGAGAAGCTAATATGGGAGAGATATGATCTCTCTTGCTAGTTCCTGTCAGTACTCTGGCTGCAGCATTTTGGATTAACTGGAGGCTTTTTAGGGAATTATTGGGACATCCTGATAGTAAAGAGTTACAGTAGTCCAGCCTGGAAGTAACAAATGCATGGACCAGTTTTTCAGCATCACTTTGAGACAGGATGCTCCTGATTTTCACGATATTGCGCAGGTGAAAGAAGGCAGATCTAGAGACTTGGTTTATGTGTGATTTAAATGACATATCCTGGTCAAAATGACTCCAAGGTTCCTCACACCATCTAGAATAACTATATGGTTAGACAGCAGATTTCTAAGGTTTTCAAGCCCAAATACAATAACTTCAGTTTTGTCAGAGTTTAGAAGTAAGAAAAAAAATCTAATCATTTTTCTTGTAATCCCATAAAAGCAGTATTCCCATGGTAGTTTGACCCTCATAATATGAGTGCTTGACCATACTACTAAACCTACTATGGGCATTTGGAATGGCACTGATATTATTATTAGTTTGAAAGTTAAGAAAACAATAGACATGACAGACATTCTGGTTTAGGGGTAAAACGGAGACTTCAGTGAGTGAACCACAGGCAAAATAGTGAAGACGTCACATTTTGTGTACTATTTGTTCAACAGCTGTTTGATAAACTGCTGACATAGTCTTCGTTACTGGCTGATTGTTGCACTGTGGAGTGATCCTTCATGTCCTCTGCTCAGTTGTGTGTGAGAAAGAAAGGAGTGCAGCGCCTTTCTCCTCTACAGTAAGCAGAGACTAACACAGAGAAAAATACAGTGGAAAAGCAGAGCAGGACAGTCTTCGTCAACCTATGAGGTTACGCTGGGTTACGGTAAGAACCACGTGGCGTATTGCTTGTCAGGTTGTGAGGCCCAGCCATAATGTGCGGCTGGAACACCGTGTCCTTGCCAGCAGACTACTGTGGTCTGAACAAGATGTAGTTCCTTGCTAAAAGAGATAGCCTGGTCAGATAACAAGCACTCACAACCACAGACATACAGCATATACTGTATGTAGGTATATGTCTATGCTCACATCTCTGAAAACTTCAAAACAAATTTCTAAAATGACAGCACTTTGATACACTGATCACATATTCTTAATTTAAGTGGTTACTGTGTCACTTGAAAAAATGTCAAAACTTAATAAAGTGGCATAATACGAGTCCTACAGAAGAAAATGATAACAGCTTTGAGCCTGGTCCCAAATCTCTGCCATCAGGCTCTCACCCAGTTCTCACTAAATAAAGTAGATCTTTCCCCAGCTGTGGGCTGTCACCTTGCTGGGCTCCTTCAGTCCCCATCTCACACAGCGGGGTGTACTGAGTGACAGCACTTGGTTTCCATTGACAGTGAATGATCAGCTGTCATGAACCCAGCTCCATTTGTCTCCATATGTGCCCGTAGCACTCAGCAGTGTAGCCACACACTTTGGCCACAAGGGGGCTCACATACAGTCAAGAAGCCTTTGAAACACTTATAACAGTGGTTAATAATATTTTCCTGTATTAAACTTATGATACAAATCAGCACCAAATCTTTTGCTCCAAGGGCCATACCCTGTCCCTCCAAAATATTTCAACAAAACCTGTTCATTACTTTTTGAGTTATGCTGTTAACAATTAAACAAACCAACAAATGCTGGCAAAAACAGAACTTCCTTGGTGGAGGCAATAGGCTTGTAAAATGTTATGAATTGTTAAGGATTGTACTATTGTTTCCTAACCATTTTGGCATAAAACCCTTTCAGATGTAAATGAGTTGTTTAACTTTCACCCTTTTAATTTCTTGGATGGTTTCATTTA